TTTTTTTTTATTATTGAATATTTAATTTATTTTTTGAGCATCATAGTTGGTTTATGATAGATTGAATGCAAACTTTGGCATTTTAGCTTGAAGTGGAAAAAATGTTTGAGTCTGTTTAATTGAAGGGAATTGCAATTATACTTTTCATTTTGTGGTTTATAGCCTCTCAGAAGTTGTAAAGAAAGTTTCCAAGAAGAAGATCCCAGCATATATGAATTCTCTGGTTCTGGAAATCTGCTGCAATGACACAGAGGGAGAAGATGTAGAGGTCCCCTATGTTAAGTACAACCTCCCAAAGAACTAGGTCACTGGGTCAAGTTCAAGGACAAAAGACTGAGGATTGTAAGATTCAGGATATAGTAAAAGCACTTGATAGACAAACTTATTTTGAGTAAAGAAAAGTTATTACAGAAAGGACAATACAGGACATGTACAAATTGAAAGAATATTTATTGTTATCTTAAGAAGGTATCAACCAACTGTGGCCCACAGCACGAAAAGATTCATTTTTGTTTGTTATAAGATATTTTAGACCCTGTTCAGTTATTATTTGACAATTGACCAATTCATGATTTGTTTATGCATAGTACTGTGTTTTGAAATGGACATCATTAAAATGGGTATTTCCAAGTTTGACCACAAAAGTTTTGCAGAAATATATTACAATGCATCAATGACAACATATCTATCATCACTCCCATAAAAGGAACCTGATCAAAGTATTCCTCTTTTTGTTTTCAGTATGAGATTGAAAGATTGATAAATATTGGCTTGCCAGTAAATGGGATCAAACTGTTTGTATCATTATAAAGTTGTTGTCTAGGGTAAGGAAAAAAATGACTATCATTTAAGCAAGAATCTTATAACTTATTTGTGGTGAAACTTGAACACTCCTAGCAGTCCCTTCAGTCAAGTCAATTACTCCCGTTTGCCAAGCAAACTATGTTATATACTGTACTAGGTTTGTATGTGTAGAATACAAAGTGCACTATATGTATGAGAACACCATTGGTGCATAAACATTTCCAAATCAAAAGGATTTGTATAACTGGGGCGTCTCGATAGTGCGAAGGTTAATTGGTCCGAAAAACGGTAATATTTTCTCCAGTTTTTCAGTCAAGGGTTCATTGGTCCGAAGGTTCCAAAGTAAACATTCGGACCAATGAACTTTCGGACTATTGAACCTTCGGACTATTGCTACAGCCCCTGTATAACTACTGGTAAACTGATGTATTGTTATTTTTTAATATACTAGAGCATTCTTTGAAGCAGTAGCATAAAAATAAAACTCAATTTTTGGTTGACCTTTGTTAATAGTTTTTCATTTTCCTTTTTTTTTTTTTTTTTGTCAAGCGATAAAACTTCTGTAATGTTATGTTGCTATAGTCTATTGAAAGAACACACATAAGACTGTGTATGACATGGACTATTACTCACTGATAATAAATGAATTTGCAAAATTACTTTCAATTTGTTTAGTATTTTTACGTACTCAAGTTGTATTGAAATTTGTCTGCCCCAGCTGCTCTGAAGGGTGCATTGAGAACAGCTGTAACTTCAACCAGTGATAGTCGAGCTGACACCACAAGACAAACGTTTAACATGCACGGGGACCCACATTACATCTTAACAAATTGACCTGTTTAAATGGACATATTTTACGCTATGGACTTGGCAAATTGTATTCAAAGTTTGCTAAATCTATCTTGCAAGCTAGACAGATGGGTGACTGAAAATATCTAAATCAAAATTGGTATTTGCCAGGAATGTTCTGTTTTTGAGGATTATCTCTCCTTATTTGAGGGATTTCAGAAACTTACATTTGTATAAAGTTCTCAAATGCAAAAAGTGGGGGTGAGGGTGGGCTACAATCACTCCCAACCTACACGCTAATGCATGTCCAAGTGGGGGGAAGGGAGCACAGTCTTACTCCTAAAATTTGACTAAAAAATATTAGATAATAATTGTCACCCAAAAAATTATCAAGAAAAAATAATTAAAATTTTCTTTCTCTGCATGCAATTGCAACTCAAATTCCCTGGACATTTTCCAACATAATTTTTGATATCACAATCACGATTAAAAGTAAAATTAATAATAAAATTTCAGTGCGAGCTGCAGTCAGAGCAATGATTATTCAAAATTTTGCCGGGAAATTCTGATGACGTCTGAATCACCATAGCGAGGATTTTCATCCAATCAAAACAGGCCCGATTTGGCTGCGAGGCTTGTACACTTGGTCACGTGACACAGCAGACTTCAGTGCAGTATTCCTTGCACTGAAGATTCGGCGTTTCATTGCATCTTTGTCTACGGCTTTAATTCAGTAAGGGATTTGATATAATTTGGAAGTGGTCGATCTGGGTTCACCTACAGACGACTGAGAGGGCGAAATCATTCGACCGCATCGACACCCTCAATCCAGGCAGGTAGGTGATTGATAAGATCCGAACGCCGCAATTGAAAATGATTGAGACATAGCAGGGCAATCAGGCACATCGATCAATTCCGTTTAGGTAGTTGTTGCTAATCGTTTTGTTCAATTTGTATGCATCCATTAATAAGTGTTGAACAGTGTGGTTAGTCTAGCGTATTCTGAATACTTTGTACCCTTTCTTGTTGTGTAATACCCAGTGAATTCTACACAGGTAGATTAGGTCCAGAATGCAGAAAATAAATGAAAGGCCAATATTCGGCGTTTCTATAAATTTCTAGGGTTAGATTACCCAAACTCAAGGGCATAGCATGTATGCCAGATACAAAAATTTAATTATCGTATTTAGTCCCAAGGTCCACATCCCCACAGTCACTGCAACCAAGGAATTACAGTACATGTAGATCCTCTCAAATTCCTTGCTGCAACTTATTTATTGATCAAAAAACCAGTTTGTAAATGTAAACAGGTTCTCATTTTTTTGACATTGAAACGGGGCCGTGGCGATAGTTCGAAGGTTCAATAGTCCGAAGGTTCATTGGTCCGAATGTTCACTATAGAACCTTCGGACCAATGAACCCTTGATTAAAAAATCGATAAAAATGTTACCACTTTTCGGACCAATGAACCTTCGGATTATCGAGACGCCCCCATTGAAACATGGGTTTAAAGTTTTATTTTTTGATGTTCATTTCTTCATTTGACGCCAGCAATTAAAAGAAAAAAAAGCTGTCAAAAAGCTGTCTTACTTAAATTATGTCTCTAAAGTCAAGTCAGATATCAGTTTGCAGTCTGTTGCATATGATATAGTCATTAAAGCATTTGTTTTTCCATCATTAAGTTGACTTTCTTCCACCAGCCAGTCATAAACAGAGCATCCAAATCAATCAACCAGGTAAGAGGTTGGCTGGTTGTACTGAACGTACTAAATCATAGGAAGTTTTCACACACTATCGTTCACCTACGCTCACTTACACAAGTAACCTTTCACTCTCACGATCGATCCCAGATTTGATGGTCTAAAACTTCACGTAAGTGTGTGCGACAGAAACCAAGTCAACCACAAGGATAAATCAACGTAACGCTGCTTTATTCAACAACTGACCAAGATTCATTACAAATATGATCTTTTATACAACTTTCTTTTTTCGCTACGATCTTACTCTGAAGTATCAAATAAACGTACCGGTACGTTAATTAATTTTCCAAATTTCTTCCCGCCGGTACGCTCCATTTTCACCCAGTACGCTTATTAATTTTTCAAAAATCTTCCACCCGGTATGTTTATTAAATACATATTGTACCGGTGGGAAATTACACAAGTACAAGTCACGCTTTTTATTTTCTTAAATTGAAGTATAATGAGAAGAAAATTGAGATCTCAACTCATTACCGACTGTTCTACCAACAGCACTGGGGCCGGTTTCACAAAGCAGTAGTTAGTTAGCGATCGGTAGTTAGCCTCTCGCTAGTTATAGTGCCGTTTCACGAAGCAGTCGCTAGTTCTCTCGCTCGTTATTGTCTCGTTGTTGCCTTGGATATTTAACGACTGGTCAGACCAGTCGCTAACTCTAGAGTTTCATCGTACGCATGCGTAATGAGTGAAATAAAAAGGTTGCTTAGNCCATCCAGTACTTTTATTAAATTTCGAGATTTTTTACACCCAGTACTTTTATTCCATCAGTACTTTTATTAAATTTTGAGATTTTTTACACCCAGTACTTTTATTCCATCAGTTCTTTTATTCGATACTTCAGAGTATGCAGATTTTCTGCTGCAGGTCCGTGTCCAATCAGCGCACCAAAAGTTAATGGATTCTAATCACATAAATACGTTGTCGGGAGCGTCTCTTCATCTCTGGGTGCTCCCGACATATCGAATATGTTATATATATATATATATATATATATATATTTTTTTTTTTTTTTTTCATTATGTTTACTTGACATTTACATTATATTTTATTTACGATAATCTTAAATATATTAATCTTAAATTAAAACTGTAACGTTTCGTATTTAATAGTCTATATTTATTCAGGGGCTGGCGTCATCGGTCTCACCTAGATTCCACCCTTCTATTTGACCAATTTCTAACTTTGGAAGAGACCACAACAGGTTTCAGACCTGTAGTTTGTATGTTATCCATTCAAGACCAAAATTAATTGACCTGTTACTGTAGGTCTTCACTTTCACAAGGAACTATTTTGGTCCAGTGTGGCTTTAGGCCTTCTTCTCCATGATGTCTCCTGCAGCAGCTTAGGTGTGCAAGTTTGTCTGATGTGACAACAATTCCTAAGCAAATCAGTGGGGAAATGGAACGAAAAAACTATAGATAATGAGTATTTTATAGATGCCAGAAAGGACATTTAAGTTTTAAAGTTTAAAAGAAAGATCACTTATGTAAGGGAACTGTTATTTTTCATGTAACGTCAGTAGGATGCTCAGTCTCTTTCTCTCTCTCTCTCTCTTTCTCTTTCAAAACACACACACACACACACACACACACACACACACACACACACACACAACACTGATGCTGCATATATCCTTTATTTATATCAAGAAGTAGCAGATTTATATCAAGAAGTAGCAGAAGTAGAAGTCGGAATCTAGCTTAAATGATTGTAGATCAGGCTTGAGAAGAAAAGCTTCAGAGATTGGTTCTGTCCAAACAGATAGTCTGTTAAAAATCAGTTTAAACCTATAAGCACTAATTCAGGCCTACCCAACTACCAAACTCGGCACCTAATGATCCTGAATTCACCGGTAGATCAGACCACACTACCCGTTTTCAAGGTGTGTGTCAGATGGCATTACACAGTATCATACCCTGAACAAATTTTGGGTGGTGATGCAATGCTTTTCAACCCGCTGAGAATCGTCACTATCACATCGCGTACTAGGCAAGAGCGGTGTCGCTCAGTTTGATGTAAGACAGTTGCTGAAAGAAAATTTGATGCATTCCAACTGCTGTGTGAAGGGTATACTCCTTCTATACATTTAAATATTCCGATGGTAATATATTATGTCTTAATATCCTGTAAAGCTTCTTATCTTTCCCAGTCCAGACCTGAAAATGATAAAAGCTTGATGCTGCTGTTTTTTTCTGAAACGAAAGGAATCGTGATTTGTTAAGAATCAAGTTATTTACTTAGAAAATGCACAATTTACAAACCATTGAATCCAGGAGCTGTGACTTGTCAAGCAGTGATTTGAAAGTGGGAGAAAAAATATCCACAACATTTCACATGTCTGTATCATTGCATTCATCATTCATCAGTTTTATTTCAGGTGTTGAAATTTAGAGAAGTGATGTATAATGGCCTGACACATTGAGCTTGTTGTCAAATGTCAAAATGATTCCCATTTGACTTTAAAAGTTTGAGCTTGACGAATTTCAAAACAAAAATCAGGATTTATATGCTCTTTAATTTTTTATCAAAGACAGTTGCCTGTATAAAATATGTTGACTGTTTGGTGAGATCAACACAAAATACTTGCCACTGGCTAAAACAATTAAACAGTCTGTTTAAGATCTAGGATAATCATCAAATTCAGACAATTGCCCAGACTTTTAAAGGAAATGCATTTCCACCTTATTTATGTCTTCGTTATTATTATTATTATTATTTTTTATTTTTTTATTGTTATTATTATTATTTTTTTTAAATATGCACAGTATAAACAATTAGACATGAAATGAAATAGATTGAATATAGACTTGATTTGACTGTAGTATAAGAACTTGCGGCAGCTCAACTCACTTGGCTTATTTTGACCCAAGGCACTTAACAGAGGGTGGCACCAAGTAGAGTTTGAACATTTCTTTCACTAGGTCAAGAACATCAGTAGGAAGCATTGGTATGTGAGAACAATTTAATTTTTTACTTTTTTGTTGTACACTTTCTGTGTCATTATTATATTATTGTTTTGGTTCCAGTTTTGATATATGAAATTAATATTTAGATTTTAAAGACCAAATAACTCCTTTTTCAATAGGGATGTTCAGTGTTAATGAAAAATAATTATTTTGCCAGTATGAATACTGTTATATTGGAAAATAAATTTGCAAAGCAATTTCAAAGTTCTTGCTGTCCATTTTCTAAATACCATGTTGATTGCCCCTATTGTGAGAGTTCAACTGCTCCAGACTATACCAGAAGCTCCCAGACTGTCACTTCCTGTTGTAATCGATACAGAAATTATCAGCTTTTTGAAATCATGGAATGGAAAAAAAGTGCCAACATTCACATTTTTTCCAGCATATCATCCTGCCAACAGATGTGTTTTTTTTTTTTTTTTTTTATCTTAACATAATTAGATTGTGCATTTAATGCTATGTATATACAGGTTGAACTGCTCTTCAGAATTGTACATATGAATTTAAGAAAAAATAGTCTTCTGATTGCATTATTTGAAGATGATAGGCAAACTTTTGGTACTGTTGTAATTCTGACATTTAAAGTGAAAGCAGTGGCCCCTTTTTTACTACACCTCAGGCAAGTGCTTTCACTCAATTTGAGACCAAGTTGGATCAATAATGATAGTACAGATTATGAATTTTTGATCATGATGGGACATATATAATCATTTACAGGAAAAGAAAAATGTATGTCATATGACATTCATAAAAAATGAATAGTGATGTTAAAGCACATATAAGGAGAATGAAAGGCAAAGTTTAAAAAAAAGGATCTGTCCTTTAGAAGAATTTCCTTTTTTTGCATTTAAAATGTTCCAAAATTTTGGTAAAATACAAGAAAGCAGTAAACCTTATATCTTTTTTTAAAGCATTTTTGCTCCCATGGCAATATAACCTTAAAATTTTAATAGTGGAATATTGAATGTACAATTTTAGATATGCTTTGTAGTCATGAGGATGAAACAACAGAAGAAGAAATTGGATCAATTTTTGTTGCTATTTGCAGGAACTTGCAAGGAGAAGGGAAATTTGAGATAAGAAGACACTTATCAAATCTAACTCATTTTAACC